TTATGTTTCGGGTCGCTCGTCGCTCGCGCTCGCTGCCGCGCTCGCCGCCCGCGCCGCGCTCCCCGCCGCGCCTAAGTTTTTTCCCACCATGGTGTATCTCGCGTGTCGCTCCACCTCCCGCTCATCGATCGATTTTTTTAAATGCCTTCCGAGTCCGGCCTACCGTCTCCTGCATCCTCATTCGCTCAAACGTGTAAATTTACTACTCAATAACTAATGTTACTTTGTACCGCAGTACATGATATTTCTCCTTAGTTTAACCCAATCCACCACTATTTTCAAAGTTGCTACTTTTGCATCAGACACCCTGTATACAGGATGTATCTGAATGGTCTGTACTTATGAACTTTTCCGTAAGAACAAAATTTGCGCATACGTTTCTCTTTCGAATGAATTAAAAAATCAAGCTGCTGTTATGTCCGTGGCAAAACCGAGGTGTAAATAAACACAGTTTGTAACTCCTATGCGATTTGACGTGAAAATTTCTCCAACCGTTGCAGGAAAATTTCGAACTGTCGTAACTCCAGAAGGAAGCGTTTCCGACCCTATCTTCATGGGACATTTCTGTTTGTTTAGGTCCCTGATACTTATATTCCCGAAATTTGTACAGACCATTCAGATACACCCTACATTTACCTCTTTATTCTAAAAATAAACATTATATTAATTTTTTAATATTTTATTAAAAATATATTTTATATAATAAAGGCACACGAGAACATGCAACTAAATGTTCTATTAATATTTAGTTGGAACATCGGCGGAACTTTCCCCAGTTGACATATTGATATTTTATGAATATTCCTGGAATGTTTCATTAAAATATTTAAATGTTCCATTCATGTTCCATGCAACATTCACGGCATAAGACAATGTTTGTTCCAAGTACATTCCACTGCAATGTTTCAAACATATTTTACGTTGTGCCAAATGGAGATACCAGCAATGTTCCATGGAACATGAATGGAACATTTAAATATTTCAATGAAACATTCCAGGAATATTCATAAAATAACAATATGCTAATTGGGAAAGATCTTCGAAGTGGGTTTCTAGTCAGAAGTACAGAAGATTCGAGAGCTCCAACCATATCATCGCAAGAAAAAAATAACGTTAATCAAGACTGTTCAGAATGCGCAAACGAGACAGACAACCCCATGGATAGTGTGATGACCGATTTAGTACGACTTTTTGTTGCTTACGATATGGGTTGGAGCAAACGCGGTTCTGGCCGTCAGTACGATAGTCTGAACGGTTATGCTGCAATTATCGGTACGCAATCTGGAAAGGTCCTCGATTTTGCGACACGAAACAGGCAGTGCCGTTTGTGCAATTTAGGACATGCAAAAGAAACGCACGATTGTCGCCTGAATTTCTACGGCAGTGCCAAGGCCATGGAATCGGATACAGCAGCTCAGTTAACAGTTAATAGCGCGATTTTAAAATCACAGAACGTTCAAGTTGGAGTATTCATTGGGAATGATGATAGTTCGAGCATCTGCGCTGTTAGAAGCGCATGTAATCATCCCGTTGTGAAACACTCGGATAAAAATCATACATCAAGAGGCGTGACAAATATGTTATATTAAAATTGATAAAAAAGCCGATACGAACAAAGAACTGTCGTCAGAAGCTATCAAATATTTGCATCGATGCTTCACGTACGCTGTTTCTCAAAATCCCGGAAATCCGGATGGTTTGGCCGCCGCAATAAAAAATATTCCGTTCCACGCTTTTAACCAGCACGACAATTGTGGAGATTGGTGCAATTATGCAAAAGATCCGGAGAACTACGTTCACACAACAGTTCTTGGCGGATTTCAAAACGACCGGTTGTTTCAAGAGCTGAAAAAACTTTTCGACAAATTGGCAGCGAATGCAGAGAAATTCTCGACTGGAGCATCAAGTCAAGCGAACGAAAGTCTCAACAACATCATGTCGAGGAAAGCTCCAAAAGCCATCTGCTATAGTCTCTCGGAATCTGCCGATTTTAGGTATGCTGCTGCAGTCGCTCAGAAAAATATCGGCGAACAATACGTCCAAGATGTATATGAAAAATACAATTTGAGTCTGGGAGCACATCTTTCCAAACATGTGGAAAGATGTGAAAAATCAGCTCGGATACGATCGGCAAAAGCCAAGACACCAGCATTCAAAGCGCGACGAAGAATACTCCGGAAGCAGCGATCGCAATTGCGGAACAGGCGCGATCTTTTCGAAGGCGAAACTTACGAGAGTCACGTTGGCCTATTGACTATGCCTGCAGTAGAAAACGATCTTGGAGTCTCTACAGAGTTACCAAACTTGAATACCACCTTTTCGGACGATGATACCGCAATGGCTTTAGTTTTTTTCGATCTCGAAACTGCAGGATTAAAAGTCACCTGCGAAATCTTGCAGATTGCTATGAAATGCGGCAGTGTAGTATTTAATGAATATATACAACCAAACGAAAGTATATCGTCAGCCGCTTCTAGAGTTAATGGTTTAACGAACGAAGGACACGATCTGTTCTTACACGGAAGAAGCATCCCATGTAGGGTTTGCCGAGGTAGACAACGTGGCCATTGTTTAGTCCATTATCGCATAGCCAAAGTTTAGACGCCTAAGTTCGGCCAATATTCGGCAACATATCTTGTCCCCAACATTGGTAATTCTACTTAAGGCCGATATTTGGTTCGTCATGCATGAACCTATTTTGGTATACCTAAATAAAACCATTTTTTGGCCCAAGATTGGAGATCCAACGCTGGCAGGTCGATTTTTAATCATTGTTCGGACCATCATTGACTAACTGATATTAGTAAATCGGATATAAGCCAAGATTGGCCTGCGATTGATAAACCAATCCTCGTAATTTTTTGTAGAGGTGACGCTCGTTTTCTGTGTACAATTAATATGAGTTTTGTAGGCCAATTTTAACGAGCTGGTATGCTGGATGTTTTTTTAAAAAATAAATAAAGTTTTATTCTTAACTATTTACATCGCTGAACGTTTCGACTTCACTTAGTCTTTCTCAACACCACATTGTTAAATTATAAAATAGAATAAATACATTCTAAATAGATTTTTTAAATAATAAATAAGTAAAATATAAATAGATTTTTTGTTAAAATATAAAATTGAATAAATAAATTATAATTAAATAGTAAATAAGTAAATAGTAAAATTGTTCGATATACATTTCTCAAAAAATAAAACGTGTAAATAGTTGTCCCCCCTGTATATTAATTATAGTCATTAAGGTAAAATTAATAATAAATTAATAATAAATAGAATAGAATAAGTTAACGATTGCTGTTGGCCTCTGTATATTAATTATAGTCATTAAGGTAAAATTAATAATAAATTAATAATAAATATAATAGAATAAGTTAACGATTGCTGTTGGCCTCTGTCCGTCTTAAGTTTGTAGAAAATTTTGAATTAAGTGACCGGACGTACTCTCCTTCTTCTTATTATTAATTTTACCTTAATGACTATAATTAATATACAGGGGGGACAATCATTTACACGCTTTATTTTTGGAGAAATGTATATCGAACGATTTTACTATTTACTTATTTACTATTTAATTATAATTTATTTATTCAATTTTATATTTTAACAAAAAATCTATTTATATTTTACTTATTTGTTATTTAAAAAATCTATTTAGAATGTATTTATTCTATTTTATAATTTAACAATGTGGTGTTGAGAAAGACTAAGTGAAGTCGAAACATTCACCGATGTAAATAGTTAAGAATAAATCTTTATTTATTTTTTAAAAAAACATCCAGCATACCAGCTCGTTAAATTTGGCCTACAAAACTCATATTACTCGTAATTTTTGTAACTTTTGAGTTAATTTAAATTAAGTATATATCGAAAATCGTCATTAGGCCTATTTTTGTTATAATTTTTAGATACCTGTAGAGTGTAGAAAATTTTCAGATGTAAGGGTGGTCAACAACATGACAAAATCATTTATATAAGATATAACTTTTATCTCATACAAGAATATGAGTAGCCGAGGACATAGGATAGAAGACTGAAGAGCTGATGATCCCAGGTTCGAATCCAGCAGTGGTTAAACAAATTTTTCACATATGATATTTTAATTATAAAATAACATTAAGAGATTAGAAGGTTACTAATTCTGATGTAGAGAGAATAAAAATAACAAATGAAAAATCTAGTCCAAATTTTTTTGCTATTTTATCGCTGTCTTATCGAGGCCCAATGTTGGGCTTACAAAGAATCAAATTTTGGGCTTATACTCGGGCTTATATCGGTTGCCAATCTCGCGAGATGGTTACGCTCCAATGTTTGGCCACTTATTGGCTCATCATCTTTCTTGATGATCGGCTACCGGTATTCGAGATTGGCCCGAAGTTCAGCCAAGTGTTCAGCCAATGACCACCCCTACCGGCAAACCCTCCGCGTGTTGTAGCGAACGCCTTACTTGAATTTTTAAAAAGGTTGAATAAGCGTTGTGTCCTGATTGCTCATAATTGTGCATTTGATGCACCAAGACTTATGCGATTCATCCATCGAGTAGGTCTCGTCAATGAATTCATCGAAGTCATCGATGGTTTTGTAGACACACTGCCACTGTTTCGAAACAAGTTTCGTGGAGAAGATTGCAGCTTATTGTTAGTGGAGCTGGCCGCTCGAAACTTCACTATACACTCAAAAAACGCGCACGATACGTTGTTCGACGTCATTATGCTTCAGAACGTGACGTTTCACGACTTCACAGTGAACGAGCTGCTTGCTGCCAATAAGAAATACGTCGCAATGTTGCAATACGACGAAAATTTGCAATCTCTTGCACCGTTAAATATGCTTGTTTCCAACGAAATAAAGAAGAGAATGGCTAATGCAGGCATAAGCTACGTTCTTATAAAGCAAGCGTATAACCAAGGAAGCAATGCGATCATCACACTATTCGAGAAAAAGGAAAACGGAAAAAAAGAAGTAATAAAAACCAAAAAAATGCTGGACACGATTATGAATCATTTCAAAGAGCTGTCCGATTAGATGTGTAAGCTGTAAACTTTTTTTATGTTTAAGTGTTTCTGTTTTCATACATGGCTAGAGCCACTTGATAAATTAATAATATAACGTTGTTAATGTCATTTGTTATGTTCAGAAATTGACAATAAACAGATTTTAAGTATGATCGTTTTTCTCATTATATTACGTTGTATTACGCTCCTGTATATTCATGCGAAAAAAAAACAATAGTGATAAAAAATATTTAAATGATCTATATCGCGCTGTAACAAGAAATTTCATTCATTCATTTCATTTCATTCATTCATTTCATTCATTCATTTCATTCATTCATTTCATTCATTCATTTCATTTCAATCATTCATTCATCGCTTCATTTTCATTTTTTCTTATTCGAGAGAAACAGTTTGTACGTTCAAATTTCAGCGCTAATTTAAAATGACCGATAGTGACATTGCCACGTGTCGTACTGTGCTTTATTGTTTTACGGAAGCCAGCTCAAATTTTCCGTTTTGTTTTATTAATATCTCGATAACGACGTAGACGAAACGTTTCAATCTGCGCAGAAATTATTGATAAAAATGTAAAGAATCTGTTGCACCTATTTATATTCAATTCTTACCATTTTTGTTACACTACGAGAATTTTATCAGAATTATGGTACAGATTTCGCTATGTCGCCTATGTATAAGACCGTAACTTTAATAATTAATTTCTGGAAAACCATGTAGACGAATCACCTGAGATTTTGCAGAGATTCGTAATATCTCTTCGTCAATAACCTCAAAAAATTTCAGCGATTTCTAACCATTTTGCGTTAGCTGAGCAACCTCCTTAAAAGGTTCCGTGCGATTCGAAAAACAGGTTATCGATGGGAAATTTTGATAGAAGTGACAGTGGAAAAAACTGATGAATTGGAAGTCAGGAAAACTGTTTTGCAAGTAAAAGTGCAAGTGAAGAAAATCTGGATTTAAATGAAAGCGCAGAAAATAAAGTTGACATTAGCGATGAGATTAATAATGACGGAAGTGAAGATGATGTTGATGGGAGCGATTTTAGTCAACATGATCAATACAGTGATGCTGACCAATACGATGAAAAAGATATTGAAGAAGAATTCATGCCACGTACTGAAATCGTTTGTGATAATACTTTACTTTTTAGTATACCAAAGTGCACACATTATACAGGGTGTCTGATGCAAAAGTAGCCAACTTGAAAATAGTGGTAGATTGGGTTAAACTAAGGAGAAATATCATGTGCCGCGGTACAAAAGTAACAATAGTTATCGAGTAATTAATTTACACGTCTGAGCGAATGAGAATGCAGAACAGGGTAGGCCGGACTCGGAAGGCATTTAAGAAAATCGATCGATGAGCAGGAGGTGGAGCGACGCGCGAGATACTATGTTTATGTTTCGGGTCGCCCGTCGCTCGCGCTCCCTGCCGCGCTCGCCGCCCGCGCCGCGCTCCCCGCCGCGCCTAGGTTTTTTCCCACCACGGTGTATCTCGCGCGTCACTCCACCTCCCGTTCTTCGATCGATTTTCTTAAATGCCTTCCAAGTCCGGCCTACCGTCTCCTGCATCCTCATTCGCTCAAACATGTAAATTAATTACTCGATAACTATTGTTACTTTTGTACCGCGGCACATGACATTTCTCCTTAGTTTAACCCAATCTACCACTATTTTCAAGGTGGCTACTTTTGCATCAGACACCCTCTATATATATTTCTTATAAATAAATTAATATACAGGTTGTCGGATTCGATTTGGACCACTCCAAAGATTATAGTAGATTGGGTCAAACTGAGAAGAAAAGTTATATACCATTTTACAAAATCCGTAATTATTATCGCGTAATTAAGAAAAACATCTGAGCCAATAAGTGCACGGAGGAGCGGAAGGGCGGACTCGGCAGACATGCAAAATGGTGTATTTGTTGACATCTCTCAAGATCCGATAGCGAGAGGTGGAGTCACGCATCGATCGATGAGAGACGGCAGTGAGCGGGAAGCGGTGAGCGGGCGGGGAGAGGCTCAATTGCGCACATTGGATATGATGCAATTGCACACAGTGCTATTGGGCACATAATGTTGCGCACAGTTCTTTTGCGCACCGTTCATTTGGACACAGTTCTTGTGCGCACCGTACAATTAGACGCCGTTGCTTTTGGACACAGGTTATCGAAATATAATTTAAAACACACAGACACACGCGTATGCATGTAGAGCTC